AATGCTTTAACGCATAGATAATTGAATATAATAACACACACACACACACACACACACACACACACACACACACACACACACACACACACACACACACACACGTGCGAGCACAAACGATTACATCTAAATTGTTATGCGCTAAAATGTAATAAAGTGTCGGTTCGGTTAGTATGAAACGTTTTCTAAAAAAAAAATGTACATCCTTATTGGCTGTAAGATATAGATGTATATGAAAAATAGTTATAAGAACTTAAAGAGCTGTGGATTTTGTTAAATAAATAAAATAAAATAAAAATAAAAAATAATTTGACTATTACGTAGTGTAAAACAAAGTAAACTCTCTTAACATGTCAAGGTTATTTGAATAGATATTCCCTTTTAACCTCAAACGTTAATTTCATTTAAGCCACGGGGGGTCTTTTAAAATAATTATAAACGGACATTTCTAGTCATAAAATGTAAATTAGTCTCTCAGTATCGCAAGATTAGTGTTGTGTACATAAATATCTACTTTGTATTTCGAAATAAATATCAAATATGTTGTTATACAGATATTATATTCCGACTTTACACGTGGTAGAGCCAAGCTTCAGCTACATATATAATGGTTGTAGCACGAATGAGTCGGCTCGACCGGGAGGGACCAACCTTTCGCAGATACCAGCGTAAAATAGCAGCTTATTGCTGTTGTGTTTCGTATGTTGAGCGTAGAGAGCCAAATACCCCTTTTACTGGAAACGAGGCATTCTATCTTACTCGTAGTCCTTAGTGTTTATGAGCCACAAAATCCACTTACCATCTACCGACTATGTGCTCGTTTGTTAATTTAATTCTATAAAATAAAACTATTTATATTCACTTATTTATTAAATATATAATATTAGCTGGAACCCAGCGCATTGCTGCCGCAGAAAAAATAATAGTCGAAATATCGTTTTAAATTTGTTAGAGTTATATTGTTTAATTAGGAAAGATAATATATTCATTGTAATTGAATGATATATAACTTTGAAATAAATTTGTCCGTACGACACTCGTGCCACCTAGTGTAAGTTAACTATACTATGCCTATAACCTTCGCATAAGTGCAAGCAATAAGTTGACAAAGTTTTAACGCAATCTGATGAACGGTAGGAACAAACAAAACGTAATTTTTATATATTAGATTATAAAATAATTATTAGAATAAAAGAATTTAAAAATAATAACTAATATGATAAGGATATAGAACGACGAGTGAACTCGAGAGGCTCTACACGCTATTATGAGGAGTCAGAATGTGTCAAATAAGGCACGTATGGCAATTCATAATGCTGTGTTAGTGCCCACTTTAATGTATGGTAGTGAAAGTTGGGTCTGGCAGAAGAAGCATGAGAGTAGAATAAATGCTGTAGAAATGCAGTCATTAAGGAGTATGTTAGGGCTGAATCCGAATGGCAGGGTGAGAAATAGTATGATAAAAGAAAAGTGTGGTTTGCAAGATGACGTTGTGACTAGGATTAAGAAAGGAATTGTTAGGTGGTTTGGTCATGTAGAAAGAATGAACGAAGAAAGAGTGACAAAGCAAATTTATGTTGCAGAAGTGAACGGCATGGTCGGGAAGGGACGCCCTAGACAAAGATTTATCGACCAAATCGGCGATACATTGAAAATGGGCCAGATTAGTAGTACCCTCAACCGACGAGCGTGTATGCGTAGATATATGGATGTAAAGGAGGCGAGAGAGGTGTGTCAGGATCGCCCCAAATGGAAGTCCGTAGTCTCTGCCTACCCCTCTGGGTGACAGGCGTGAGTGTTTGTGTGTGTAAATTAAAAAACTACAATAATAAACTACTGCCTGCAGTATAGTGCATTGGCTGCATTCCGTCGTTGAAAGTTGTGATAAAAAATTGGACTAATTTTCCATAGCTAAGTGGTGACTGCCACATTGGCCTAGTGACCGTAACTGCAACTGCTGATCGTGCGGTCCCAGTTTTAAATTTCGAATCAGACCAAAATCAGTTATTGCGTTATTCTGTCAACTAATTTCCAGTAGCAGCCAGGATTCGGCAATTTATTTTGTTACTATAATTCTAATAGATTTCTTGTTTAATGTGCGACCCCTAAGGCAATGCTAGAGTGACCCTCGTGAGCGGCTTGCAATACTTGCTGTCTTAATTTTCCAGGAATAACAATTTTGGTACCTCGAAGTAAGATATTATTTTGGAAGCAAATCTCTGATTCAAATACTTTATAATTCGATATTGTATGGTCCCAAGTACACGAGTATAAACCTTGTTTTACTTTAGCAATTTCGTATTCTTACTTGGAAAATTGCTCAATATCGTCGAGTGATACGGCTACGGGTCTTCAGTATTCAATTATATGCCTGATATATTCCTCATCAAAATTACGTACTATTGTATTCACAGAATTATGTTTTGATGTATGTTTTATGTTAAAATATTTTAATGATACTTACTTGTTGTTTGTTAACAAAAAACATCTGAAAGCTAAGAATTCAAGAATGACAACACACATACGATTACATTTTATTTATGGATGTATGAGTGTCTTTAGTTATTGACAAACTTTTGCCGCTTCTCTCGCACTATTTATTATTTTAAGCCTTATGCAGACATGCATAATTGAAGCTACTTCGATACAATTAATTTTTTATTCTATAGGCATACGAGACAATGTACACCGATAGTATTCCGCGGCTAAACTGGTCTTAAGTCCTACCATCCGTGACATTAGCAATTTGTAAAGTTAACGCAATCGCGATCAGATTAATAGCGTTATTTGCGATGCAATTTTTAGTAGTAGTATAGAATTAAATAAGTCATTTATTGTGTTTGTAGGTTTTAGAAATGTAAAAAGAAATTGTAAACAAAGTTACAGGCACAGGCCTCCTATCATTATTAAGAGAGTTATAGACCAATTAGTTTACCATGCTTATTAACGTAGTAGAACCATGCAGCAGCTATATTGTGGTTGCAGCACGAATGGGTCGGCTCGACCGGGTTAGGACAATACTGTCATAGAATACCAGCGTAAATTAGCAGCTTAATGCTGCTGTGTTTCGTATGGTGAGTGTAGAGAACCGAAGAGCCTTTTTACTGGAAACGAGGCATTCTATGTCAGTTCTCAGTTTGATTCTTAATTGATGATAAATGTAGATGTCTATGGGCCACAGCATCCACTTACCATCAGGTGGACTGTGTGCCCGTTTGTCATTATTATTCTATAAAAAAATGCTGTGTGCGTGTTTGTGGACTTTAAATTTTATTAGCATCTCTTTCATTCATGAGTTCCTTCCACCTGACCGTATTCAACGGAGAGCAGCCCAATTTTAGACGACTAAAATCTTTCTGATCGGTTTGATCCAGCAGCCTTGCAGAGAGAGGTTGCATCTCTGTGTGTCGTTTACCGTATACCACACATACGCGTATACCACGGGGAGTGTTCAGAGTAGTGCTCGGATTATATCCAGCTGCTGAATTCCACCATCATCTCTATTATTAGCGGTCCACTACCGTACGATTTAATGAAATGCGGAATTTTCTACCTCGTATGATCACACTGTAGAATTTATTGTCGCGAGCGGTTTCCCAGATCGATACGACTTAGGGACCTTTAAGAAAAGAACCTAATCCTTTCTAAAAGGCTGGAAACACACTCCCCAAAGAATACAGATATTCGTGAGTGAGGTTATAGTTATAGATCACTTATCATCAGCTGATATGATTTCTCGTTTGCCTCCTCTTCTATTAAAAAAAATCTTTGTTTTTCACACATGTAGTTCCTCGCGATGACTTCCTTCACCGTGGAGTAAATTACTTTAAAATTGCAATTAATAATTTGATTGGTGCCGGCGGAGATAAAACTAAATTATTCGCGTACTATAAAAAATTACGGGAAGCGCTTATAGCCTTTAAGCTGCCATGGCATAGAAAATCATAAATTTATAATTAAATAATTACATACTTATTTGAGTAAATAAATAAATAAATTCTAATATATCATCGTTGGTTTATTAGTGATCGAGTAATTTCTGAACGACTTGACCGATTGAAGTCATGCTAGGATCCGACGGGTTGCGTTTTAATCATTATTAACAAATTCTATATATGTGGACATGAGTCCGCAAATACTACTAGTTTGAGTGACGACCTGATAAGACAGGCAGGAATTGGATGCAGGTAGCTCAGGACCATGTTTCCTATGGGGGAAGCTTAGGATCAGCAAGTGACTTGTGAAGGGCTACAATGACAATGACGATGATAATGATTAACAATATATGTGCCAAAAATAAAAATCATCAAGATTAAGACCACATAAATGGCGCTGTAGTCGAGTTGTACGGAGTGAATTTCGTGAAACTCATCTCGTCCTCTATTAGAAAGGGCAGAACAAAGTCTACCGGTCAGATTTAAAAAAAAAGTTATGAATACTTGTCGAAATTAACAAAAAAGTCTAGGAAACGTAAAGACCGCATCAGGGCAAACGTTTCAACGACTCTCCGTCTACGAAACTCTGTCACACATAAAACTCCTTCCATGCCTGCGCCCAGCGGTGGGATGTGTAGTGTATATATGCATTATTTTATCTCTCCAAAATTTAATTCACTTCTTTCGTCTTAAACATGTTGCATTTATAAAATGAATTTAAATTAATCTCTTTAAATATATCGTTTCAAAGTAATTTAAGTCTAATATAAAGGGGATTAGAACTCAAATTTAAGGTACTTATGGAACGTATTCCTATATTCTCGTTGTAACTTACGATTATTGTTTATGGTAAGTGTACTATAGAGAATCAAAAACAAGATTGTGCAGTTCTTAAGGATAAGTTTATGCTAAGTGTGGTTAAGTGACTCGTTTAGTACTTGCTAAGATATTTACTTACACTTGCCTCGCATTTTAGATATACTAAAATGAGATAACAGACACTACTTCGTAACTTGTTAGGTCTTAGGTCTTATAAACCTCAATTGGCTAATACTGAAATACTTTGTTTCATTGGTCAGAGTAACCGTGTAGTGGCGGTGTAAGAATATCCACTACTCCATAACGTTACGAGGGTGTCGTAAGAGAGGAGATGGGCAACAACACTGATAAAAAATCAAAATAATAAAAAACTGTAGTTGCCAACCCGCTAGCCCAGCGTGATAACTATGGCAAAATCCCCTCATGAGGCAATCTATGAGAGAGGTTTATGTTCGGCAGTGGACTTTTATAGACTGTAATGAATGAATAATGGGTGGTCAGAGTCACTAAAGAGTCATGCGTCTTGGGTTAAAATTTCTGCTAATGAGATGTAGTAACTCAGAAGAAGAAGCGCTCGTCATAAATATTACAGTACGCAAGTTCGATCTCCACTGCCAACAATGAAATTGTTAATTGCAATTTTAAGTACGTATTTACCACTTGGACTGCGGTGGAAGAAACAACGTAAAGCCGCGTCTCCACCAAAGTTTTGTTGTCAACACAATATTTGCCAACAAAACTTGTTTCGATTTTCGGCGGCAACATCAAAGGAATACGCTTGTTGCCGACATTTGTTCCCTCGGTGGAGACGCTTGTTGACAGAAACATTTGTTGGCACAACTTGTTGGCAAATGTTGTGTTGACAACAAATCTTTGGTGGAGACGCGCTATAAGGATACCTACATGTTTGTAGAATACAATATTTCGATAAATGTTTTTATACGTGGTAGAGCCACGCTGCAACTATATTAGTAGTATAGTTGTAGCACCAACGGGTCGGCTCGACCGGGGTGGGACCACGCTCTCACAGAATACCAGAGTAAAGTGGCAACTTATAACGTGTATATAGAAGAAGGTGATACCTACCCAGACAGACTCCTAGGCAGGTGTCCTACCATCTTTGAATGGTTTCTGTCCAGCGCTGAACTTAAAAAGGTTGACGAAGATAATATAGCAGCAAAACTCTATACATTTTAATAAATTCTACTTCGGGCTTTAAAACAATATATAAAAGAAATTTAAATAAGCTAATGACATCTATAAATTAAAATAAACCGCCTAGATCCGATTTATAACTCTCGAGTTATGAGCAGTTAGACAAACGTTTTTTTTTTATTTGTCAAGTTTATAATAAAATGTTAAACAAACTTCGCCTTAATCACCTTCAAACAAGGTTAGATAATTATACGCCCGTAAATTAGTGCTGACAAAATGTTTGCCGAACGGTAATTAATTGGCTCTATCAGCGGTTTATTGTGAATGGAGTACATAAACGCCAGGTCATTGAAAATATTAAAGCAATTCTTATTTTTTTTTAAATTTATTTAAACAAACGTTACCTCAACACTAGAATTTTCTCCTGTATCGTAGGGACAGTTTACAAACATAAATTTCACAAAGACAAATATCCAGATTCGAATTATTTGTAGGCCATACAAATACTTGATCCGTGCGGGATTCGAACCCGCGGGCCTTAGCACTGCAACTCATTGTTAAGCTACTCAAGGAGTATTCTAAGCCTAATTTATGTAAGACACATTCAGAACGGCCCAAGAAAGAAAAAATATTTAAAATGAATTAGTTGAAAATATTTTGCGTGAAATACCAGCATAATGCTGCTTTGTTTCGTGCGATCTGTGTAGAGAAGCGGTGACCCTTTTTACTGCTAACAAGACATTCGATCTAACTCTTTAGTGTTTGTAACACATTCTGCATTTTCATTCATAAAAAAGGTAAGAGATGAATGTAGTTATCTTAGAAGGATGTGGGAGACGTGGTAGCTCAGATGGTTAGCGCTCGCTGTAAATTTCACAGTACACGAGCCATCCGGGTTTGATCCCCGCCGGCACCTATGAAATTGTTGATTGCAATTTTAAGTGCTGATTTACCACGTGCCCGGCCGGTGAAGGAAAACACCGTGAGGAAACCTGCGTGTCTGAGAAATAAAAAAAAAATTTGAATACATGTGAAGTTCGCCAACACGCATTGAGGCAGCGCGGTGGACATTTCCTTGCCCTAAAACCCTCCCAGAAATGAAGAATATATAGGCTATATAGGCTTTAACTTTGACTTTAACTTTTTAAGAAACGTCAGTAGCCTAATGGCAGGGCACCGACCGCGAACTCGAAAGATGGTGGGTTCGAATCCGCCATTCGACTACTGTCGTGAACCACTTCTAACACAAGCATTTTAAGCTTACCAGAAGTTGTTTAAGAGAATATTAGTAATGTTTAATAGCATTACTAGTATTTAAAAAAAAATAGGTATCTTACGCCATTGCATCCACTTACTAATAAGTGAACTGTGTGCTCGTTTGTCATCCTTAGTCCTGCATAGGTCTGTGCAGATAAGAGTTTTCGATAATATTTCGAAGACAAGTTTTTAAATTATTTAAGTGAAAAATAAAACGTCTTAAGCAACATAAACTTTTATAGTGATGGTATATAGTACTGTTGTTTGTTTATCACATTATTGTAGTAGTACTATAAAAGAATCAGTTTTAAATGTCAAACAATATTTACGACTCTTATCTTTGCACTAACAAGACGATGTAAGGTAAACGAAGGCTAGAGGTTCATTACGATCACTATTCGTATTATATTTTTTATAGGATAAGTGTGACAAACGAGCACGCAGTCCACCTGAAGGTAAGTGGTTGCTGTGGCTCATAGACATCTAAATTTATATCCTCGATTAAGAATCAAAATGCAGATGCGCCGTCACTTTTGAGGACTTAGATGGAATGTCGCGTTTCCAGGGAAGACGGCATTCGGTTCTCTGCACTCGTACGAAACACAGCATCAAATAAATTTGCTGTATTACGCTGGTATTGGTATTTGATGTGTGAGAGTGCAGTTCTTTTCCAGTCGAACTGACCATTTCGTGCTACAACCATAATATAGCTGCAGCATGCATATACTTCTACACCATTTAATTGAAATAAAGCTACAATTCTACAGTTTTCTGTAAGTGTAGCACACACACCCACTTTGGTTACTTAGTTTTTTTTGAGTTGTTTCATTTTTTTAAATTAAATCTAATAAACTGATATACATAATCTGTATGTTTTGAGCTAGTAAAATAAAGAAAATAAGTCTATTTTTATATTTTACTGGTACCCAGCGCGTTGCTGCCGTGGAAGAATAAATTGTGGAAATATCGTTTTAAATTTGGAAGAGTTATGTTGTTTAATTAGGAATGATAACACATTTAACTTTCAAATTTTTTTCGGTACGATACGTAAATGAATTGTACTAACCTTCGCGAAAGTGCAAGCAATAAGTTGACAAAGTTTTATCGCAGTTTGACGGTATGGCGCATATAATACGAACAAACAAACATTATTTTTTATATATTAGATTATATAAATATTAGACTGCGTTTCGTTTTTTCCTAAATATTTGTTTATTATTGTTACGAGCTTGGGGTTCGAGATAATTAAAAACTGCCGAGTGAATTACCAAAATTGACACTAAATAGAGAACACTAATTACAACTTAAAACCACACTTATAACAAAACACATTGTACTACTGATCACTTTAGTTCGCAGTTGTATCGCTTCGATGTATTCACTTGTATCGCCAACTCCACACTGATCCCGGTTGCGGTCTATATCGGCCTTATATAGGGCCTCAGATAGTTCCAAAATCTTCTACTGTAGAAACATATAGAATGTTCGAGTACATACCGGTCCCAATTGACTAGGTGTCGATAGTTCTAGAAAGTTCTTCCATGTAAATATATAGAAGGATCTTGACTCTCCTAGTTCTGCCAGTCGATTCGATTCAAGTGGCAGAAATCGATTCTAGAGGATGCTAGTGGTAACTAGTGTTGCCTTTTACCAGGCATTAATGGTGGCGCTCAACACTGCTCCCTCCTAAGACAAGCTCGTCCCGAGTATTATCGGGCCCACAATAACGCGCCAATCGATCCACATGGACGAACTTAGGAGTACTTCTTGCACCTTTTTGTATCCGGTAGGTTACGTCGTAGATCCTTGTCACAATCCAGTACGGGCCGTCCCATTTAGCTTGAAGCTTAGGAGATTTCCCTTTGCTGCGAACTGGATTGTACAACCACACAAAAGGGTTCGACGAAGGTTCACTACCTTCGTCGAACCCTTTTTTGTTCATTTTGCGGTCATATCGGGTTTTCATTTTTTCAGACATTTGCTGGCCCGATTGTCTGACGTGCTCATAAATGTCATTCATTTCCGCAAGTCATTTGCATAATCGGTTATACTGCATAGAGCATCAGGTGGTATTCCGGTGATCAGGTCTGCAGGCAGCCGTACTTATCTTCCAAAGTTTGCGACAGCTGGTGTTACTGATATACTTTCGTGAACAGAGCTTTGATATGACTACATAAATGGTTGTCTGTGCTTGTCCCATTCTCCTTGCCATTTTTCATAACTTTTGCTAGGTACCTCTCCAATGTCTGATTAAATCGTTCTACCATTCCATCAGATTGTGGGTGGTAAGAAGTTGTTTTTGTTTTATAAGTACCCATAATTCGGCAAGTTTCCTGGAATATTTGAAACTCAAAATTCCTTCCTTGATCGCTGTGAATCTCTAAAGGTACTCCAAAATGACAAAAGACTTCATGAACTAGTTTATCTGCAACTGTTGAAGTTTCTTGATTTGGAATGGCTAAGACTTCTAGCCACTTAGTGAAGTAATCCATCACAACCATGAAATACCTGTTACCACTTTCACTTTCCGGAAACGGCCCAGTAACGTCAAGGGCTATCCTCTCCTATGGTGCACCAACATTATATAATTTCAATGCACCTCTACTACAAGTCTGAGTTCCCTTTATAGCCGCACAACTTGTACATTTGCGACACCAGTTCTCGATATCGCCACGACAGTGGACCCAGTAAAACCGTTCTCGCATCTTCGGTAGAGTTCGTTTAACTCCCAGATGGCCTCATGAACAACCAGTATGTTACAGCTGTAGAACATCCGGTACTTTAGCTTTATCGACAACCATTTGAAAATGACAGCTGTCTCCCCGACCATTTTCCCATTTACGGCACAGGGCTCAATCCTGAATCAGCAAGCTTTCCCATTGCGCCCAATAGCTTTTAGTGGTCGAACTCATCGCTGAGACGTCGCTCCACTTGGGCTTAAGAGCACTAGCCTTCATCCATTCCAGAATCGGTTTGATGTCCGAATCTTCCTGCTGTGCATGTTGTAGGCTGTCCTTCGACACATTGTTGAGTTGGTCTGTCCTGAGCATCCTCACAGATAACACTTTCTTACCTTCCTGACTAGTACAATGCTGCAAGTATCTTCAGGACAAGATCTTCTTGACAATGCATCTGCGTTGCCATGAGATTTCCCGTTGCGCTGGGCGGTGCTGTTAGCCGCACTATCTTCTCGAGATCGATCACCTTCCCTTTCTACAGTTCGCTTAGGGCAGCTGGTTCGAAGATGGCCTCTTTACCTACAGCCGTCGCACCTAGGGTTGTATCCGTTATTGCGGTCGCGAAATGTAGCTGCTGCAACCTCCCTGACGCGATGGGAACGATGATCCTGCCGCACGGCTTCCACCTCCATTGCATGGGTCAAGGCGTATTCGAAGTATTCGCTTGTATCGCCAACTCAACACTGACCCCGTTCGCGGTGTATACCGGGGTTATATAGGGCCTCAGATAGCTCCAGAATCTTCTACTGTAGAAACATCTATAATGTTCGAGTACAATTCGTACATTCGTCGAGTACGTTCGAGAAATTTCTAGAAAGATCTTGACTCTCCTAGTTCTGCCACTCGATACTACAGGGCGCTAGTAGTAATTAGTGTTGCCATTTCCCAGGCATTAATGGTGGCGCTCAACATTATCTTTGTTAAATTAATCTTTCCTTGGTGTACAATAAAGAGTAGGTATTGTATTGTACAATAAAATAATGGTTCAGTCATTTATGTATATATATATATATGTATATATTTTCTAGGGCAAAGATTTTAAAACACATTTAATGTGCTAAAATACCATGCGTCATGTTAAGTTGAAGGGATTATTGAACAACTTCATCATTATCATCATTACAGCCCTTCAAATGTCCACCGAGAAGCCCCCAAGGAATGCCTCTAAACACGGAGCTGGGTCAGCTGCATCCATCGATTTCCTTCATGTGGTCGTTTTACATCTATTAGGGAGCTGATCTAAACTTTGCTTAATCATATGAGATTGCCAGTCAAGAACCTTTATTCGCCAACAATTATCGGTTTTTGAGCTATAAGGCCGGCCCATTGCAACCTCAGCTTACTGATTTGTTAAGCTATGTTAGTTACTCTGGTACTGCTGTGGATACCATCATTAAGGATTTTACTAAGCGGAGAAACTCCAAGCATTGCTTCCTTATACAGCCAATAGTGAAGGACCACGTCTTAGTTCCATCACACGTAATTATTAAGTAACTTATATTTGGAACGATGTTTTTTATTGGACGGTTCGAATTTGGCGGCTGGGGGGCTAGAAATTTTCCGTCACGGCCCCTTCTGACGTAGAGTAGGACTTAGCGGCTATAAGAATGCGAGATGGAATAATATTCATCTCCCTCGTACTTTTTCTTATCTTGCATTCATGACTTCATCATTCTTGCAATGACGCTTCATTTTAATAGACGCTAGTAATTCATTTATTTGTATTTATACTTTAATAATATACTACGAAAGGAACTTCGTTACATTAGTTTTTTTTTAAATAATTTTAACACAAAAGCGGCAGAGCGATGGAGTCATAGTATATAGTCGTAGGATATATTATGTATATGTATATCTATAGATTTACTTATAACCCAAGCATTATCTAGTGCATTAAAAGCTTTAGAAGTCACATTATCTTATTACAGAATAAAAAAATAATATCTGTCAGAGATAATCAAGATTCGAATAAGCACGTGCACTGATCGCGTGTCTGTTGACTTGGGTGACTCATCTCACTATCCACTTAAGTATAGTATGATTACATCTTAAATCGTAAATCCGTGGGCGATATACGTCGTTAGATGATAAATAATTTTTACTATGTGATCTCTTTCTGCTATCGTTCAAATTAGTAATATATTCAATATTGACTTACAAGTACAATAGAATAGAATAGTATATGTTTTATTAAATACTAGCTCCCGCGACTTCGCCCGCAAGGTATTTATTACGGTTGGATTTCATGGGTTTTGATTTTATTGAGCGGAACCCTAATTGTTTTCCTAAATTACAAAGTAGCCTTAGTTCCTCCTTATAACATCAGCTTTCTGCCACTGAAAGGCCCGTCAAAATCAGTCCAGCCATTTCAGAGATTAGCCGAAACAAACAGACAGACAGACAGACCGACAGACAAACAAAAATTTTTAATTTTTTTTGTATGAGCTCCGTATATACTTTCATATACATTCAGGAAAAATAAGTTATTTTGACATTACAAACAGACACTTAAATCTTATTTATTTGTATAGATATTTTAAAAGAAGAATACTTCAATTACAGCCTATAAAGCAGTGATTTCCAACCAGTGGTCCGTGGACCACCAGTGGTACGCAGAGCTTAAATATGGTCCGCAAAAGATTTAAATATTTTACCTACCTAATTGTTTTATATAACACATTTTTTATATTCTCGTCACGCGGGCTGTGCAAAACCACGCGTCACGTTAGTGAGTACGTACTAGCTTTTAAAATAAATACACAAATATTACTGTTAATGAATGCTTCTATTCAGAAGTTGTGATTAAAATTTATTGTTCGATTAACATTGTTTTTTCATTCACCTTGTGGTCCCTGCTAACAACAAAAAAATAAAGTGGTTCCTGGTCAAAAAAGGTTGGGAAACCCTGCTATAAAGCCTAGTGATGTACATAGGCATCCTAAGTAAATTATTAAGGGAGTTTTAGCTGTAGTTGACACGCATGGTAGGTTTTTTTTTATAAGTTGAGGGTGACAAACGAGCACACAGTCTACCTGATGGTGCGTGGTTGATGTGGCCCATAGACATCTACATCTATCCTGGATGACGAACTAAAACGCAGATACGTTGTGACCCATGAGGACTAAGATGGACTGCCTCGTTTCCAATAAAAAAGGGTCTCCGGTTCTCTACACTCACCACAAGAAAAACAACAGCGTTAACCTGCTATTTTACGCTGCTATTCTGTGAGAGCGTGGTCCTTTACCGGTCGAGCCGATCCATTCGTTCTACAACTATTCCAGTAATATAGCTGCAATATGGTTCTCTACTACGTAAAGACCGAGTGGGTAGGTGCGTTGAAAACCGAACAAGAATACTACTGAAAGTGATTTATGCTTTTATCTCTGGTTTGAAAAAAGGTTGTCCTTAGGAAAGAACCAGCAAGGAACTCGGCGGAATCTTTTTAAATGTAAATTTATAATACAATATATTGTAATTTTTAATACAAAAACACTTAAAACCGGTGTGGTAGCAATCACCTCATTCACAGGGTTATTATCACCTGCAGTACGTTGCCAAGTTGTAGCATCTTTTGTTTATTCCTAGTATTGACAGAATGAACATCAATATTTTGAAACCAAAGGTTTCTTTTCCAGGCAGAATTTTGATTGCAGTGACCAGTATCAACGTAGTCACCTGCTCAAGACAGAATTATAGGTACACGAGTGTGTGTGCAATCACAGGCTCCTATAGTTCGATGGGACGCAAATCTGACCCGACCGGAGAAAGATCAGGGGCAGGACTAACGGCTTTGCGTGTTTTCTAGGCACGGGGGTGAGATGCCGATAATTTCCGTACTCTGGGCTGTTACAGAGAGATTTTTGGACAGAAAAACTCGGGACCATTTGATCAAGAGGCAGTCAAAGTCAGTCACCTCTTATGAAACGAAATGGGTTACCACATAAATATCGATTTTGACAGATATATTACAGAATGAAGTCACTGACCGCGTATTTTAGAAACGCACACTATGTTATTTAGTTAACTAGCGAAATCGATAACGCAATAAAAGCAATTTTGGTGCTCTCAAGTGTTTGAACAATCAGCACAACAATTAATCAATTAACGTTAAAATTAAACGTTGATTGTTTAAATGGAACGAACTCAAAACAAAAGTATAAGTTTTTTATATATAATACATTGTAAACTATCATATCACAGAATAAGGGTGACAAACAAGCACACGGTTCATCTGATAGTAAGTGGATGCTGTGGCCCTTAGACATCTACATGTATCCTGGAT